AAGATCGTGCTATCGAATCGATTATAAGTGAAAGGGGAGAGGACAGTGACGATGAGGATGGAGAGAGCTTGAGATCCTTCATTCGGTCTCGCTTTAGTAGCCAAATCTTAAATGTGTTCAATATGCGTTCAAACACCACGACGATGGGCTCATCATCACGGACTCGAGCACCTTCTGCCCCACCTGAAGATGGCACGGGCAGTAGGTCACCTCCGGGTCGACTTATCAGGAGATTTGACCCCCTGGGTGACTTCACGCTCTCCAAATTTTGTGTCACTTCAGCAGTGTACAGTGCAAATGGCGATGGTTGGTTATTTCATATAGTATGGTCAACACACGTGCTTAGTGCATATATTTTATGAACTCCTTATGGTACTCATTTTAGCCATTCTGGCTTCGCTTAATGATGAGGACATTTATCTCTTTGATTCTCAAAATGACAAACTCCCTCCACTACATGTCTATCGTGGACATCGAAATAGTGATACCGGTACGTTTCTTGATTGGCCAACTTGATGACATCCTGAATTTCTCATTCATTTCTATCGCTTCCCACTTGAGTAATTGCCAAGATGTGATCGACGTCTGTGAAAAATTTGTCATTGATTATTCGTGATTGCTTTTTTCACTTCAACAGACATCTTCTCTCCAGACCAAGACTTTGTGTGGTTTCTAGCTTTGTGCTGTCTCCCCTTTCCGCTCCTACTCTGTTGAGGAGGCTTGTTGTAACTAGATCTTTTCTAAAGTTCACACTATAGGCATGAAAAGGCATTAAGTCTTTAAGTGCCTGCACCAATGTTTGCTTGGTTTTCTATGTATGACCCATCAGTGAAGACTTGGAGCCATTGATCTGCAGGATAGTTGACATTGATTGTCCCAGGGGTCAGTGAGCGCATTTGCTCTGGAGGGGTGTTTGATTTCCTGAATATCATTGTCTGCTTAGTCAAGCAGTTGGGTGCAACACACTACGACGCTATCTAAACTTTTTAGAAAATTGACTTTGGAATCGTTTAAATTGTGATTGGTTAGGCTATTGGTGAAATTATAATATTTTTAAATGGGAGAGTTGCCATGTGATGAGATAACTTGCCTTTTCTTGAAGTGCAGGTATTTATAGGTTTTTAGGCACCTTAATTGAGCGTCAAATGCCAGTGTCTCACTCATCTTTGGCAGAGATATTTTTGTCTACTGTACGAAATATTTGAAATATGAAGCTCATGACCTCTTAAATATGAAGGTCTGCTATTACTCCGTATTACAATATGAGGCTGTTTTCTATTATTATTATTTTATGCTGTGTTCATCTCCTAATTTGCAGTGAAACGTGTCAATTTCTACGGACCGAACTCGGAGTACATTGTGAGTGGAAGTGATGACGGCTTTATCTACATTTGGGATCGTCATTCAGAGGGTGTAGTTCAATGGCTATGTGGAGATCTCACTTTTGCTGTCAATGCTATTGAACCCCACCCCTACCTCCCCATGATGATTACCTGCGGCTGTGATAACAATGTTAAGGTCAGTTATAAATTGTCTGCCAATTAACTAATCAATAATCAAGTATTTGACCTGTTCTCCTTAAGTCCTGCATATTGCAGCAGACAAGAGCGTTTTCCCGAGGCTGCTTTATAAGTAGAGAGCCATATCTATGTCACATTCCTTTTTATTTATATCGATTGCTTCAAAACAAGCTTGAAAACAACAAATGTGTCGCAGATGATCCTATTTCGTAAGCAAAAATGCTGGATTTACCTCATTGATAATCGTCTAAATCTGATTTGGAATGTGTGCGGCTCAATGCGGAGGAAGTTGAACCAGTAATCTTCCGACGCCGGAGCTAAAGAGAGGAAAGTGGGAAAGTGGAGTGAGAGTGGAACGTGGAAGGGAGAAATTGGAGAGGAGGCAAGAATATGCAAAAATATGCTAAACTAGTCAGAGTCAGTTTTGTTGTTAAGAGAATGAATGAAAGTGTGATGAAAGAGTTGACCGATTTTAAATCGGTTTGTAAATTGATGAGAATGTCAACGAGGTGATCAAACTTCGAGATATTATTCGATATTTGCACACTAAGTATCTTGAGTAAAGCAGAGAGAAGGTAAGTGTGCTGAGGTTAGTAACTGAATAAGCGAATATTCTTGAAGGTCATTCGAGGAATATTAGTATTTTCCAACTATTCAGGAGTCCAGGTTTGTATAATATGACTTCTATGCTGTAGTACTGGCAGAGACATAGTTCTGTTGTTATATTAAATCCTCCCCCTAGATATCGATAGTCTACAGTTCAGTTCGGTTCCGAGAGAGTGAGAGAAGGCAAGTCAGATGTGAAGTTGCTCCAAAGCCATTGTCCTTTTATCTAATCTAGTTGCACTTCGTGACTGTTCCAATGAATAATAAGATGATTCGTCTAGATTAATTGTCCAGGTTCTCGACTCAGCATTCACTCGCATTTTAATTTTACAGAGTCCAACTCTTGTCCTCTTGTCTTGTACTATTTTGTGAGTAACTTGGTTCTGCAGATTGCTATTACACCCTAACTCTCATCTTCATGTTTCAATAGCTCTGGGCACCGATGGAACGATGCCAAGATCTTAGTCATCCAGGATCCTGGTTGAAGACCATAAAGAACAAAGATTCCAGTCGACCTCTATTTGACTCACATCCAATGATCCTATCAATGCTAGTTTTAAGGAAATCAGAACTCTCTAGACGTCTATTCGGGGATGAGGAAGATTTTCGGGTGTCAGATGAGGAGGATGAGGAGGAAATAGTCGGTGAACAGAATGGGAATCGAGATTTCGCTGATTTCTTAACCAACAACAACAGCAGCAGCAGTGGCAATTTACTACCTTCTACAAGTCATTCACGAAAAAGGAATTCCCCCTTTGTCGAAGAGACTGATTCTTCATCACCCAAAGTCATCAAACAGGAAGACGATGCAATGTCTATTTCTTCAGAACCTCTTGGCCGGCCATCGACCGAGAAGCTGTCTATTATTAGGGCTCCCCAACGGCACTTGCCCTTCAACTACAAGGATCTAATCCTCGTGCGATTGGAGTTTAATTACCTTTATTATCGTGGTCATTTTGCACTTTGATTTGTTTTCTTTTTTAATCTTTTTAGCAAGTTGCCATGAATTGGGGAAAGCGACTTCGAGACTCCACAACCATGATGTTCACCCTCGATCTACCTGACATCTTTGTATGTTTATGCCAATAGAACTAGTTGTCTTAATTTTATTTAATTCGTCGTTCATGGCTTTTCATTTGTTTACTGCTCGTGTTAATAAACATGTTCTGTTGACTTATTAATTCGGCCATCCCTTTGGCAAAAATTCATGAAAACCAACTAAGCGGTCTCAATCCATTCACCGGATGTCAGTTTTGAGAGCGATATTTTGACTTAATTATTCTGTTAATAGATGCTACTGATACTGTCGTTAGTAGACGTTCCATTTCCTTGTACTTGGATTACTTTTCCATTTTAGCGTCCGCTTTTGAACCTAAGCTATCCTGACTCAGACAACGACTATGATGATGATGTTAATGGCTCTGAAGAGGACTTGATATTCCAACGATTTCTGAGAAGAGAACGATCCCACTCTCATTCGGGAAACAGCGGCACTGCTGAGAGTGCGTCGACTTTTCCTTCCTCTTCAGGATCAAATTCAGATTCTTCTCACATCCTTGATGATGACGACGATTCTTCGGAGGAGCCATCAGGTTCTCGTCCTCCTACTCCTTTTCCAACCTAAATGCAGAGAGTACTCTGTTAAAATGCGTGTTGTGTATTAACTTGTGTATGCTCGGAAAAGGCTGCTTTATACAAAAATTCCCCTCTAAAGAAGGGCATTAGAAATTCTTCCTCGCTTTGCGCATATTCGCGGCATTGGTTGATGAAATTGTTAGTTTCAAAAGCAGTGGCGTGCCAGTTTGTCAACTAGAGGAAAAGTAATGGAGCCTGTGGGCAAATATTCACTCACGTAGAGACAGCAGTTGGGGCAATCGGTTTTAGCTCAGTTGGGTGATCTGTCCACAATATCCGGAGCTCTATGAAGGTAGGAGCTGATGATCAAACATTTAAAGCAGCATATTAGTTTAACTTAAGCTGAAATTTGGATGCTGTTCGTGGGGTCTGAAGAAGTGGGTGATGATTTGTGAGAGAAAGTAAATGTTGAGCTGAACTAAGGAAATGAGGAGATGACACTGGCTTTGAAGGGACAATTGAAGAGAGGAGTGAGTTGGTGCATCCGATTAAAATAACCTTTTGTTGAATTGAAAGTGTGAAATGAATTCCTTCCTTCAAATGGAAGTCTCGGGGAGTAGGCTGAGCACAAATTCATGCTGCCAAAAAATAAGTTGCCCCATGTTAGTGGGGATGAAGACGAGTGTTGTATGTGGTGTGCATGGAGTGGATAGAGTGAAATGCGTGAGATGGCCCATAGAAAACTTCTAAATACAAACTATGGAGCATTGGAGTACTGCTTCACACAAAGATGAGCAAGGTATGGCATCTTGTGTACTACATTTACTCAGAACATAATTCTTGCATATATAAGATCGGTTTTTGCCTTAATGCAGTTAGTAAATGGCAAATGAAATAAGTTGACCTGTCAATAGGAAAACGTGTTTGTCTTAATATGGTAGTCCGGTTCTAATTGAGCCCTTATGAAGTTATCGTGGTGTAATGTCAAATAGTTAATTTTCTGAAGTTTATTTATTTATTTCAAATGGCGGGCTTTATGACACTAATCAATAGCCCTTTAGCTGATTTCGGGCTTCACAGAGGGTAAGTTCATCAAAGTAGCAGAAAGTCGAGGGGTGGGGAAGAGAAGAGCGATTCGCAGATGTAAAAGAGGCAGACAGACACAAAGGTAGAGAAAAAGGTAAGGTGAGTACATTGGAAGGGGTCGAATATGACAACCAGGGGGTCGTGGTAGTTTGAAGTCAACTGGCAGTTAATACACTTTTTTGCCGTATGAGTATACGTTGCCCAGGGTGCACCACGTGGAGGTAAGTCTATCGCACACCCCAATTTTCTGAAGCAATTTAAGGGTTGGTTACTGTCTACCACAGAGATGAGTAAATCATACCAGTATGGCATTGTAAGGTATGGACGCCTAAGCTTCAAAGTAAATCGTGACTAGACTAGCCTAACCACCCCGAGGATTAAAAGGAAGGTTTCGCTATTCAGAATACACAATCATCTGCTATCGACAAGTAGAAGGATCAGTAACAGATAAGCTTTCTGATGGAAGAATGAAAATGGGACTAACCTCCTACTGCATTCTGTCAACTAATTTGTGACCATTGCGTGCGTAATATGATCATCTGTGAGTCCACTTTACTCACATGTTCTGCCTACTCTTGAGACTCCCATTGATTACCTGTAATTTCAGACGATCTTTGCATAGCTTTTCTGTAATTACTTCACCTATCCATGCATAGAATTCTTTTATTGCAAAATTTAGGTTATTACATACCTCATAAAGTGATAGTTTTCTTTTCCCATCCATGAAATGCATGAAGTTATAACAATCCCAAAGGTGTGGTCATGGGTATGATGGCATCTCCACTAAGCACCAACGAATAGTCACTGCATTATTTGACTAATCTTAGATTTCTTCAGGCATAAGCTTTGTATCATGGACACAACCTCATTAAAGGCCATAATTATTATTGTGGGTCGCGCCATCGCATGCACTCCTGCCAGGATTCGGAGTGTGCAGCAGCACCCGTAGAACACCGTTCAGAGATAATTAGCTAATAATGTCTGCTCAAATTAAGTTTGATTTGTTTGATAACTCTTCGCATTTCCGATATCATAACTCGAAACAAACGTCTTCTGTGTAATTCGTCTCTTCCCTCCCTAGCTTCGCAGTAGCTTAGCTAGTTCAGGCAATCTAGCCAGATATCGAAGATACTGCCATAGAGATTTCTGAGTCGGTCAAGGTTTTACTGCTGTAGAAGCCTGCTACACTAAACGCTCCATTTATTCAATGTTATTGTAATAGGGAAGCTAGTTTCAGAGACAATTTTGGACAGTGAATTTTGCCATAGAGGTTATTGAGCCTTATTTAAGGCTTATTTACGTAGCATCAGATACAGTTTCAAGCACTTTAAAGCTTAAACGCATATTGTGAGAGATGTAGGCTTATATTAGTCCATTTCCTCAAGAGTAAAATTACTATTTCCAATTAAGTTTAGATTTCAAATTGATAAAGAAATCCTAAATGACTTTACTAAGACTAAATTTGGCGGCGAATAAATGGACAATGCCTTGGTTTATATTTAGTTAACCATAAAATGAAATATAACATAAAGACAAACTTGCATTTGGTAAGTGCCCTCACTCTCAAGCTTATCATGGAGGCGTAAAATCGCGCAACCAATATCAGAATAACAAATCTATTTGTCAGTTCAATTGATCTACATTTAAAATATTTTCGTTATCATCATGGGAATAAAGAAAGTTA